GCACGCCCAGGTGCGGCTTCGGCCGTGCCAGCCTCCAAATCTATGTTGTGTTGGTTGAAATCCTGGTTATTTGTTGTGTGGACCAGGGGGTGTGGTGGAACGCCAAGGTGAGGATCCGTCCGAGCCATCCACCTGCGGCCTCCCTCGTCTCCGGTCTTTTTGACTCTGTCTTGACACCGGGCCCAGGCGGGGGAGAAGGAGAGAGTGTAGGTAGATGCTACGCAATTCTACTGGCACTATAAACCCCTGCGTAAGTCACCGTCCCTGCTCCCACCGCTGCTGCAGTTGTGGGGCACACGGTGGACATCGTCGAAATCGACGGTCGAACTGTCACCTTTTCGATTACAACGAAACTATACTAACCATTAGACTATTTAGATAATTTGCACTATTTTACCTTTTCTATACCCATATATAATTTGGCCGCTCACGATGCTACAACCATCGCTGCTAACTCCAAATTCTTTCTTTCGCATGCACAATCAAATATCGTTTTTTATCTTCTGAAATGCAATCATCATTAACTGTATCCTGCTTACAACTTTTGGCAGTAGAATCCCAGATCTTCCAACAGAGCTCCTAAAAACAACATGCCTATATTCCTGTCTGGGAATGGTGTTCCCGCCCCAGTTATGACAGTTCGATCATCGGTTTCGATGATGTCCCCCGTGTGCCCCATAACTGCAGCAGCAATGGGAGCAGATAAAGGTGACTTACGCAGGGGTTTATAGTGCCGGTAGACTTGCGTAGCATCTACCTACAATCTCTCCTCCTCCCTCGCCCGAGCCCGGTGTCAAGACAGAGTCAAGAAGACCGGAGACGAGAGAGGCCGCAGGTGGATGGCTCGGACGGATCCTCACCTTGGCGCTCTACTCCGCACCCCCTGGTCCACACAACAAAAAACCAGGATTTCAACCAACACAAGAGAGATTTGGAGGCTGGCACGGCCGAAGCTGCACCTGGGCTTGCCGCCAACGCCTGGCTCGGATCCCACACTGTGATGGGATTGCCATAAAGGCCACATTAAAAAGGAGCCATTGCAGCCTGACTCTCAGACCACCTCCAGTCAAGGAGGAGGTCGAAGTTACCCCGTCAGTTGGCAACCTTCCAAGCCACGGCTTTTAGCGCACCGTGATAGCTTCAAGCGCGTCAGATTGATTATAGTAAGGAAGAGTGCGCTGAGTCGTCGATCTCACTCTCCCTTCCCACTCCCACACCCCAGCCGCTGTCCGAGCCGGTCAGTAGACTGTAGTGGGGACTGGGCGCGGTGGCTGTCATGGTCGACTGACCATGACTGCGCGCGCCACGGCACGACCTGGTCCCCCCATACACACAACACCAGGATTTCACACAACGGGGGTTGAACGGCGTGTCTCTCGGTTGCGTGAGAGGGCCGTGGAAGGCGCTGTTTCAGCCCGTCCCCAGCCCACCTGTTCGCCACTCCACACAACACACACACAGAATGCGACGAACTGCGTGAACCGAGAGCGGACGTCAATCAGCAACCTTTCTATCCACGACGTTGACGTGTCGGGATAGTCTCGGACTCAAGTCACCCGTGCAGCCGAAGCCGGATGAGGACCGAGTCGAGATGCGGACTTCCCACTTGCGTGGGAGGTGGTAGTTGGGTGCCTGCGGTGGGTGAGTGTTGATGTGTGGTGGTGATAGTAGAGGAGGGTAGGGAGTGTGTGGATGTGTGGTGTGGCCGGCGGTTGTCTACAGCAGGTCGTTGTGGATGCGCATGTGGCCGAATAGGCCCATGCGATGCCTGAAAGTGGGAGGACAGTGTGGGCAGTTGAGACGAGCTTGGTGGGTATAGGTGGGTGCTCCAGGCACTGGTTCGCCAGTCTCTGTGCGATGGATTCGCAAGTGACCGACCAGGCCCCGTCCCAGTTATAGCAGTACGCTCTCATTCCCCAACACATTCCTTCCACAGTCCCATTCCCAATGGGTGCCTAACACAGGTGCTTTACTTGGGAACTTCCCGAGTCCTCCCTGTCACCTAGACCCATATATGCTTGTGTATCTCACTTATAGGTTTCTTTGTGCAAAATCAGCTAACTTGCGATAATGCTCAATTTTATTTCCACCTCTTTCCACATAAATCCTACGTCTCCTTACCAAAATCGGACAGTTTCGATGCCAGAAAATTTCCTACAAGACAGGACAGGAACATCCAATTCCTATTTTCCGTGGGCTGTTAACCATGGGCTGACTAAGCTTCCAACCATCAGAAACAAAAGTTTGTGTCCTTAAATTTTTCGGCCTAAACGCCAGTTTCTTGCTGAACAAGATGCTGCCGTTTGAGATTCTGGCGTTCATCCACTGCCCAGGTATCCTCCATGTAACCGAAACATGGAAAACAGCTTCCGTAGCTGAGTCCGAGCGTCTTGCTGCAGGATACGCTTACCTTCGAAGCGATCGTCTAGACAGCCGTGATCGGGGGCTTGCATCTAGGTTAGGCAAGTACGTATAATTCTGCTGTTTGACCTTCCAGACGTTTCCGCGATAGAAGATAGCTGCTGGTTTGGGTTTTTTTTAAAAAATAACTACTTTTTCTACGTTGGCTGTGTCTATTAGCCTTTCAACCCCAGCGAGGGTTTAAAATTCGTCTCGTACAGGCAGTTCGTGCTGGAGTGGACTTGGATTTTAACTATCCGTTGATTTTGAGTGACTTTAATCTACCTGAAGTCCGCTGGTTTCAACCTCCCGGCTCTGGAATCTCGAAAATCTTGCTCGAGTTTAAGATTGCCAGCATGTGGAATGAGGTTACCGATTCTCCCCCGTGATAATCGAGCATGCTATAGCTGATATTCTTCAGAAGTTTTCTGCCTTTCTCGATGGCATTTCCATGCCACTCCAGGGTTCAGACCACGACCTATTTGTTTGCACATTGGAACTCAAAGCCAATAAAGCTCTGTTCAAAACTATAGTTTCTTCTTGGAATCTCGGCTAACCCGTTCGTCAGATTTATTGACACACCTAAACTTCTAAGTTCGGATGTGAACATCTGTACTGCTAAACTGTACGAAGTTTTGGATGCATATATTCCTCGTTTTGTTCGCCATAAGAAAATAATTCATCACACGGAAGAGGTTGCGCAGACTCTCTCATCTTCTCCATCTGCAAAATGATGTTTCCGTTTATCTTTTGATCCGCTGTATTTTAGAGCGGGTTTAGAGGCTGTATGTAGGAAAACAACTAGCCAACTAGGTCTACTTTGCCGAAAACCGTTCGTCAAGCGTTCCAGACCTTTCTTCACGTACAACAAGAGCTCATAGAAAAATGCAGCATCTATCCTTTAAGACGCTTTCGGAAATTCCATAGCAGACGCCACACTGAACGCTGGTAGTTTCAATGTCTTATTGTTCGGAAAGTTTATTGGAAACTCCACCGATCTTCTTCCAAACATCCAGGTTTAGACCAGTGCCGTTATCAAAACTAAAGTATGATCCTCTGGGACGGGCCTACAGCCATCCAACTTCTACCTTAATCTCGCAGCCCTAATCCGGATGGTGTCCAGACCAACATCATAAAAGCTATCATAATTGAGATTTTCCTACCCCCCGTTTCATATATTTACTCTTGCTGTCAAAAGTGAAACTTATTCTAGTTCATGGAAGGACTCACACACTCGGCCTCTGCCTAAAATGGCTAGTCTACGTCACCTGACAACTTCCAGCGAAGAACGATCCATATTCGAACCTTTGTGGTTTTATCCGGCGTCTGAGATAGTTTTTCACAAAGCTGACTCGGTCCGCATTAAACCGGAAAAGCCGGTAGAAGTAAGCCTGCGGATGCACTAGTTACATCTAGTAAGTAGCAATATCTTTATACACAACCAGTGCAGGGACCGGCATGCAATTTACCCGTATATATTTTTCAGGGGGCGGACCAAAACCAAGGGCGGGTAAAA